GAGCATCTCTATTTTAAATATCATCATTTCCCCAAAGTGAAGCTGGGAGAACCAGACTAAGCTCTCAGATGTTTTGCCATCAACACAGCAAATTCCCAATTTATTGAAAAGCCACCACTTTGGGGAAAAAAAAAGAAAAGAAAAAAAGAACAGACAGACACCTTGATAAAATCCTTGATTTCAAAAGGCAGCTTCTTGCAGAAGTTCAGGATCTCTGCAGTCTCCGCTTTCACTTCAATATCCCCTGTTGGCATTTTCTGTAGCAAAAAAGGCAAGAAAAATATTAAACCTCAAAACAATTGGACAAAGGTATTTCACAGATGGTCAAAGGCAAAAAAGAAACCATGAGGTTATCTTCCCTGCCTTCTAACACAGTATATAACTCAGAGAGCTTCTCTCAAGGCCAGATTTCTCCTAGGTTTCCCTTCTGTTCAGAAAAACACAAGTCACCTCCCCAAAGATGGCAGGTTCTTTCCCAGGAGCATACTGGTCTCTCCAAAAAATACAATTACTTTTCCTGTGCCTTCTCCTCAAAGGACATGCTGAGCAGAGGGACGTCAGGCTCAGCCCTTTCTAGGGCACACACACTTGAACAAAATACAACCAATTAGTACCATTAACCTCAGAAAAACCCCACAGTGTACGTTTCAGTGTACATTAGCAGCAGCCCTTAACACAAGTCAAAAAAGGCAAATTGTGAAGGAACTTCTCAGAACTTCCAGTTCTGAACACCAGTTCTCAGAACTAGTCTTCTCTTTCTTTGATCCCAAGGGAGAGCAGGCAGCTTCCCTCACGTAGCACTGAGGCACAGCAAAGTTCACTTGATCCTGCAGAACTCTTGCTGTTTACCAGGAGAAAGCACATACAACCTTCCAACAAAATGATACATGAATAAAAGAAATAAAGGCATTGCTTGAAGCCTGGATTCTTCATGGACATCTACAAGTGGTCAGAGCAAAAAGTTATGATCATAAATCTAGATTCTCTTTTTAGACCATGGTGATATGCACAATCCTGACAGATTAACCAACAGCTGATTACAATGAGAGCTGAGAAATACAGAACATTAAAAAATTAATCAGCCTCTGTTGAGGTTGAATGAGAACAGCAACTTCCAATGAGAGTATTTATTTTTAAGAAAGTTCTCCCTCACACTTTGAAAGCCTAGAAAAGCCAGCCATTATCCTTGCAAAGAGCTGGGATGCAGTTTAATTTGTGGGTGCCTGCAATGTGCTTTGAGGTTCTCCTAAGTTACATGTCATAGCAGTTATTTCACCTCACATTATCTGAGGATAGGCTGCCACACACCTAGAACCCATGGCAATGCTATGACACAAACACAACCATAAACCTACAATCCAGTGTTCCTTTCCACAAGGAATAAAACCCCTGAGAGACCCCACCATTCTCACCAGATTCTCCTGCCCCGGGGGCCGAGGGGACACAATTCCAGTCACTCTCACCACAGACTCCACTGGGGCATCAGACAGGAGCTTCTTCACGTGGGAATGTGCCTGCAAGGAGATGTCAAAGTCTCACAGAAATTCAAAGGACAGGGTAAATGCACCTCATTTCTTGATGGCCCATTTGAACCTAAAATCACTCTTAAGCCAGGGGAAACAGCACTAATGTTTCTGTTGCACTTAAACCTCCTTGTGAGTCTGGGTCTGACCAAGCACTTGGTTCTGCTCTCTGTGTCTGCTGGGCCCAAGCTATCAAAGGGAAAATAAAAACACAGACTCACATTGTGGTAGCACTTACCTCATCCTGTGGAATGATGATCTGGGTCAGTCCCTGGAAATCCCTCAAAACCAGAAACAGGCCTTGTCTGATCCATGAAAAACACAAAAGGAAAACCCATTTTTTCACAAATTTAGTAGTTTCTACTTTTTAAAGCACATGGCAAGAGGCTAATTTCTGAACCTTGTGATTCATCTCAAAGCACTTCCAGCTACTCAATGTACAAACACTTTTCCCACACCTGAACCCAACTTGAACAAATGGTTTCAGATTGTGACCAGCCACAAACAATGTGCAAATAACCACGAGAGGCAGGATTTTAACTTGAACGTTAATCCACATTGAGCAGGGATTCCGGACACATGCATTTTCCTGCTGGGAAACATCATTCAGCTAAACACAATTAAATGAGCAATAAAGCTAAAGGTCACATGGATTTAAAAAAAAAAAAAAAAATCCAATCATAAGGCAAGAAGGTCCCATAAAAAGTTCCACACTGCTAAACCCAGAATAATAAATCTTGATCTCTTCAGCTGCAGCAGAGATAGCTGCCATTGTACTTTATCAAAAAACTGTCAAATGGAAAATGCTCTGGCTGTCCTTAAAAATAAGATCACAATAATCACATTGCAATAATCCTAATTCTGTTTCTTGGATTCCCATCTACAATTGTTCAAAGATGAGATGCTTGGGACCTCCTAAAATAAAAAAAAAAAAATCCATGCAGACCATCACTGGAGGACAATGCTGGATAAAAACCAGCCTCTCTGGGCTGTGAAATGCAAAAAGGCAACTTCTGACAAATTAACTTCATCCAAGCCACGGGATCTACCTCCATGGCACAAGCACACAGCCACAAACAGGACGTTTTGGGCACTGTCCACATTTTTCACCTGACATTTATAAAATGTTCAACTCCATTAGGAAAGATTATATCACACCACCTACAGCAAACTATTGGAATTCACATTCCCTCCTCTGTTTACTACTTTTTCTTAATACTTCTTTTTTAAGTAGATCTTGCATTCTTTAAATATGCTTCATTAGATGCTGGGGTTCAAATGACAAACATCATCATTTGCTTGAAATTTAAGGACTCTATGTAAAAGAAGTTGTAGAATCATGGAAAGGACCTTAAAGTTCATCTCATTCCAACCCCCTGCCATGGGCAGGGAGATCTCCCACTAGACCAGGTTGCTCAGAGCCCTGTCCAACCTGGCCTTGGACACTTCCAGGGATGGGGCAGCCACAGCTTCTCTGGGCAACCTGTGCCAGGGCCTCACCATCCTCACAGGGAAGTTATTTGCTCACTGCTGTAAGAATTGCTATAAATAAGCTATTTCTTCATTTCTCTCCTATACAACAACAATAATTCTTTACTGCTTTACAATGCTGCAGTGAGGATAAATTAATATTTGTATCTAACTCTGAAAATTGAAATACTGATCTGACTGTTTTCTCAATTGGTTTAATCACTTCAAAAGGGAGCACTCTAGGACATGAAAAGATAACTTGAAGCATAAAAAGCAGGGTCTGAATCCAGCCCTGGAGCATACGCTGGACAAATAATCATCTCCATTTTCACTGTGGTTTGCATTTACCTTTGATACTGAATCCATCCATACAGGGTCACCTTCTGTCCCACGTGAGCTGAACGCAGCTCTCCACACGTGTTGGTCCGAACGACAAAACTGTTGAAGTCTTGAATAAAAATAATAAAACCTCTCATGGCTTTTGCAGACGAGTGAGACAGAATAGTTAGACAGTTTCCCCTCCCAAAACAATTCAGACATATACAGAGAAATTACTTCATATATATTTGCAATAAGATACTATGACATAAATATTAAGTGAGGCTAGTCCAAACATATTTTAAATGGGATTATTTCTGTTTCTCAGTCAAACTTTCACACAGAAATCTGAACACAGCCTTGCTGCAAACTGTTGCCCTATAAAGTTCAGGCACAAGAGAAGGAAAAGCCAGAGATAGATCAGTCCTGAGGGATGCTGCCAATTCCACATTCAAATCTAGAATAACAGAACAGCTTGGGTTAATGTTAAAGATCATTTAGTTCCAATCCCCTGTCTAGTGGGACACCTTCCACTAGACCAGGTTGCTCAGAGCCTCATCCAACCTGGCCTTGAACACTTCCAGGGATGGGGCAGCCACAGCTTCTCTGGGCAACCTGTGCCAGGGCCTCACCACCCTCACAGGGAGGAATTTTTTCCTACTATCTAATCTAAACCTGCCCTCCTTGAGTTCAAAGCCACTGCCCCTTGTGCTGCCACTGCAGTTCCTGATGAAGAGAAGACACAGCACCAAGGGGGCTTGACAAGCCAAGATGGAAACATGCATGAACCAGACACCCACCGTGCCCGTGTAAATTGAAGTTTCCTGCCTGCAACTACTGGGAAAAGACCTGAACCAGGATTACAGAAGGCCTTGCACAGACCCCAGCGTGCCTGTAATCACGGCTTAAGGCATAAAAACCAAGCACATCGTTTACAGAATGCACAAGAGGTTCTGCAAGAAGTCGGAAGGATGCCATTACCTAGACATATATAAATAATTACATGAGCCAATCTTGCTGCCTGCATCACAGCCTTTACAATTAAGAGTAAAGGAGGGTTTGTTTTCCAGCTATTACCTCAGGCATTCAGCCACCCCTGCTGTTTACAAACTGCGTGCTGCAGAGGATAGGGGGTCAAAAACCAAAGTAAAAGCTCAGGAAAAAAAACTAGACTAACTGGTCTTGATGTACTTGGAATCGCGATTCACGTTGCGACGCCAAAACTCAAATAGAAACACGATTTAGAGAAGACACTTACTAAAGCGATACAGGCAAAGTAACTTATCGCAAGTGTGATATTACAGGAGTGTGTGGACTACCCTGACCTGTGTCCCGGGGAGAAAAAGGATATTCAAACTCCCCAAGGGGAGAAAAGGACACCCCAAACCTCCGGGACGAGACAAGCGCTCCTTCCTCACCTGGTGCCGCGGGGGCAGAGACAGCGGCCGCCCGGTGCAGCGCCCGCGCCAGCAGCCGGGGAAGGGCCATCCCGCGGCTGCACCTGAGCCAGAAACACGGGAGCACCGCCACAGGCCTCCGGGAGGTTTAAAATAAGGACACTGGACAGGAAACCACCCCAGGGCAGCCACTTCCTCCTCCTCCTTCCCTCCCTCCTGCCCGTCCCAAAGATGGCGGCGAGGACTCGCCCCGCGCGCGCGGGGGCTGACGGGAGGCGGGTTCGAACGGCGGCGGCGGCCATGGCGGCCATGGCGGTGGAGTCAGCGGAGGACGGGGCGGCACGGACCCTGCCCAGCCTCGGGCGCCTCTCCCGGGGCCTGCCCTTCGGACGGGCCTACGGCCGCCTCGGCAACAGCCCCAGCGGCCGCCTCATCCTGCCGGCGCCGCTCTCACAGGTACGGCCGGGCCGCTGAGGCGGGGGAAGCGGCGGCACCTCCCCGTCTCCCCCGCTTCCCCTCCCCTTGTGCCTTCAGCCGCGCTGCCCCGCTCGCGGAGCACATTTAACGGTATCCCCTTTTTTTTCTCCTGCCGTAGGAAAGCGGGGATCCGCAGAGAACAGCGCTCCTCCTGCGCAAAGCCTGGACGCTGTACAGCGTCACCCCCCTGTACCGCTTCCGCCGCGGCCGCCTCAGGGACTACGCGCGGCTGCTCGGCGCCTTCATCGCCGCCGAGAGGCAGAAGGGGCTGGCGGTGGAGGTGGGCGTCGAGCTGGACATCAAAGTGGCTCTGTCCAGCCTTCCCGAGCTCCAGGGCAGCGAGCAGGACCAGCCTGCCGTCCTCGTGCAGGTAAGGAGCCCGCCCGGCGGCTTTGGTGACCGAGGTTTGCGTTCCACGAGTTGCTTTTTACCGTCATGAAACGCTCTCTTAAAAAAAGAAACCACCGGAAAACTAACTCCTAGCTGTATGGAGTAACTACTGTAGCATCCACTGAGACTGAACGAAACTGAGTCCCGTCTATTTTTTAAATGGAACAGAGCATCACAGTCTTAAGCTGCACCAGGGTTGGACACTAGGAGGGATTTCTTCACATAAAGGGGGATTAGACATTGGAACTCCACCCAGGACAGTGGTGGAGTCACTGTCCCTGGAGGTGTTTAAGGAGAGACTGGACGTGGTCTAGTTGACAAGGTGGTGTTCAGACACAGGTTGGACTCAGTGATCTCAGAGGTCTTTTCCAACCCAGTTGATCCCGTGGTTCTGTGATCTCCTAAGCAATGCATACAGTTAATTGCAACTTTAAGTTCAACTCCTCAACAGGATCAGAGCAAGACTATACAGAGCAATCTTTGTCTTATGTTTTAGTTCAGCAGTCAGTTTACTGCCAGAACTCGGGTTATTTAGTTTCCTGGATAAAGCTGATATAATCCCTCCTGGCCACAGCTCGAGCCTAGTTAATATTTCTGAAATGCTTTGCCCCAAGTCAAATGTGCTACTGAAATGACAAGTTCATTGAGGCAGTGGTTGTAGGATGTACCATGGATTGCCTCTTTGGAATTAAGCATCATAAACTCAGATTGCAGCACTGTTCCTAAGGAAGTTAAAAGTGCTTTTTCCTCTGTTTTCAACATAACTGCACTCAACTTTCAGGGATGTGATGGACAGACTGAATAACTGTATCTGTTTTACAAAAAACAGTGTTGCATGCGAGGTCCTGAGAAAAAAACTTCTACCAAACACTTTAAAGTGTAAAACTGTTTTTGGCTAAAAAAAAAGGTCATACTTGCTCTGTAGCATTCAAATGCTTCTTCTCCCCATCCCAGCTTTCTTCGAGGTCACAAGCTTCCCCCAAAAACTCAGAAGACAAGGTCCTGTGGTCGGGCTGTTTCTGCTGCGTGTATGGAGATGATCTTTCCGAGAACATGCCAGAGGACTTCACTTGTTTACCTCTGTTCCTGGCGAACGGGGCGGAGAGTTACATGTCAGTTGTTGGAAACTGGTTCCAGAAGACTTTTGACTGCATCTTCCGCCGTCTGGCCATCAGCCCTTTCACCCTCACCTGGATGGTGGCCATGTGGACTGGGTGCAAAGTGGACAAAGCTACCTCTGCCGTGGAACTCGTCTTCTCTGTCCCCCGCCTGCCCCACCCTCTGGATATTTCATATGCCATCCACCCAGAGGATGCTAAAGCCCTGTGGGACACCATCCAAAAAACTCCGGGAGAGATCACTCAGGAAGAAGTGGATGTCTTCATGGACTGCCTTTACTCCCACTTCCACAGGCACTTTAAGATCCACCTGTCAGCCACAAAACTGGTGAAGGTTTCTACAGCGATTGCCTCGGCACACTGTGATGGGATTGTAAAGGTGAGGCTTTAAGGAGCAGGTTGTCCTAATGCTGGCCAAATAAAACAGCTGTACCTGAAGGCTTCCCGTTTCTTTTGCATGGTTTCCTGCAAAAAGTTGCTAAGCTCTTAAGCTTTTACTGGTCATACTTAGTTCTGAAGTTGGGACAGCTGTCAGTACAGTATTTTACTACTGTGTTGCAGCAGAAGCTACTAGTCTTGGACCAGAAGTAGGTGTGTTGGCTGTGGTATGAACAGGAAAGTTTCTTTGGCTATAAGGAACTTTTTTTGGACTTAAAAAGATACCAAATTTAATCCAAAACCTTTAAAAAAAGTTCACCAGCTTTCTAATATTGTAGTTATTAAGACACAGGCAGAAGGCTCCTTCACATGTAACCCTTTTCATAAAGATGCTGGTCTTCCTATACATATCCACATAATATCCTTCAAACAATTGAGAATAAATCCTTGGCAATAATTTCTTCTGAGTTAAAGAACAGTTTGTGTAAATGCAGTTGCTCGAATTTAGCCTGTCTATGATGTGCCTTTGGTAGGGCAACTGCAAACCACTGAATGTTAGTGTTACATTGCTTGTAACACTATCTATAGTAGTTTAAAAGTGGCTGAAACAACTTTTTACGTTGCAGGTAGGTAAACACAAGATATCTCAGGCTTTCTGAAGAAGGGTGCTCTTGTGGAATGGGTGTTGTGTAAATTCAGTCATGGCTTTTCATAATGGGGATAGAGTTCACATCATATATATATATATATTCAGGGAAAATAGGGGGATCCTGGGATACCTTGCAAACAGCAACAGAGCAGCTGACTAAGCCCAGGGAGCACTTGGTAGTTGGCTTCCAAGCCTTTGAGGGTGCGGAAATCTGGCAACAGCAATTTTCTTTATCATGCTTTTTTTTTTTCTTTGCAGATGCTACACAGCCAGTATCTCTCTGGAGTGCTGATGCTACTGACAGAACTTGCAATCTCTCAGATACAGTGAGAGCCATTTCAGCAACTCTTCATGCTACAAAGTCTTCCTGTTGAACGATGTATGCTGGGAAACCAACAGGAAACTCACTCCTGCAGCATCTTCTTTCCCCTCATGTTGGTTGTCCAAAGCTGGACTGTACCTCCTGCACTTGGCTCCATAACGAGCTGTAACTCCATGCCATGCACAGCGAAGACAAGCAGACATTTTGCCCTAAAGAAGGGCTGCAGTACAAACTTGTGATAGTTCCTGAGCACCTTTGTTTTATCGGAGTCACTCCGTTCATTTATGTTTAGGAGACAAATTCTTCAAATTCTTGATGCAACTTACTGACAGGTTATTCTGTTGTTTCAAAGGGCAAGTTGGTTTTCTCTTAACTAGACAGCCTAAGCTACAAAGACCTTAGCCTTAGCTAAACTGTGATTACTCTTGGGCTAGTCTAAATGCAAAGTTCAGCACACCTGGAAAAGGGTGAACGCTCTACAATCCAGGGCAGAAAAATCCAGGTTTCTAGCTCCCTTTGTAGGCCACTTGGCCATGGTAATAGCATTCATATACATTCCAGTTGTCCTAAGACTGACAGCTGCCTTGTGTTCAGCCTGTTGGTCTTCTCAGATGAATTAATACATAGGAAGGTGAGGTCTGTAGATAGGCTTTGCATGATGTTTGTATCTTGGATGTGATCCTGTAGGCCAGAGAGCTCTCGGGGTTAGAGTTGTGTGCTAAAATTTTATGTTGGATCTCTCTCTTCTAGAGCAGGTAAGAGTTCACAGGGCTAGTGCACAGTGCCTGGCTAGAGATTAAAGGGGCAGAAAGGAAGTAGTACCTGTTAAGTCTTAGGATTTTTGTAATATAGTACTAAAGAAAGAAAATATTTTCCATCTTTTGCACATAGACTGGTCTTAAGGAAAGACCACCTATGCCTAATTAAATATATCCTTGTATGGTGCTTATTTCCAACTATAGCTTACCTGACTAAACCACCACTTGTTACCTATTAAATAATTTTGTGAGCAGCAAAATTTCAAGTCTAGTTTCTTGCTTCACACTCGTGCAGCATCTCTAGGCACTGATGATTTGTGCTGTGACCTTCTCCCTAAATAGGGATGCAAGTTTCCTTTCTTTTCCCAGTGTAAAACTGCCTAACATGACATAACTGCATGCCTAGTTCCTAACCTATTTCCAGAATTAGACAAAGAAACATGCACTTGTTTTTAGATTCTTTACTAATGGAAGATGGATTATTTTTGCATGTCAAGGCTGCAGCCTGTGGTAACTCTTACCCTGGTTGAAGCAGCTAAATGATCTTCTGAAGATCTTGACAGCTCAGCAGCTGCTTAAACTATCACTTCTGGTGCTTTAGTTTCCTTCTTATGAAATATCTTAGACAAAGTTTGCTATCTGGAGTCAGAAGAGCACTGGACAAAGGAGTACAAGGTGTCACAATAACTGGCACCTGTATTTGATTTGAAAACGGAACTGTTACACCCAGGGTTTAGTTTTAAATCTAATGGTCAGCTCTTTCCAACAAATCTGCATAAAAAAGCTCTAAAAACCCTAAACTGTCTAAAGCCTCTTTTAACTTCTTCCTTGTCTTGTCCTCATTGATAACTGCAGTTCAAAGGGCAGAGAGAGATTTAGCCAGATATTTAGCACAGATGCTTCCTTCCAGAAAAAAGCTGGTTCTGAGTGATGTGCTTCTAATTGAAGGGTAACTAAACAGCAGAGGTTTAAGTCCATTTTACTTGGACTGGTATTTGGAAAAAAGACACCAGCATCTGTGTCCACATAAACCATTCCCCACTGCTTTCACCCCAAGGAACAAACCAAGAACAGCATAAAAGAAATTTATTAAGATAGCACTATTTATACAAGTTACTCATGCTAGAAAAAAGCATAAATGATACATGTAAACATTTGTTTACAGAATACTTGTTTTCCTTGTAAAGGTGCAAATGATCTTCAATGTAAACACAAGAATACCGACCTTTAGGGGGAAAGGGGCTTTTAAAAAAAGGTTTAATGACCCATTTATGACTGTAGTGTAATTTTTACTATATTCAAGCACATTAAAGTCTGAGTTACATGAATCAAACTATGAAGTTAAAGAACTTAAAATGTCAGCACTGCCTTTTTCCATCTCAAGAATTTACAGTCCTCCTACTCTTTTAAACCCAGATTTAGTAAAGTCCACAGTTAGATCAGGTGCAAAAGGTCATTCTTTCATACTCAATAGAAATTACAGTACAAACAGAACTGTTGAGTCTAGAGTTCCTCCTTCCTCTACCCCCACCCCTGGGTGCCTCCAGTTACTCACAGTGCCAGCAAACAGTCCTTCCCCTCCAAAATCTAATGAGCCTCATACCTTTCCCTGCTCTAACTATACACAGGCAAAGTGCACAAAAATCACTAAAAGGGAGGGCACCATCTCATCATGGTCTGGAATTCTAGACATAAGACAAGAGGGCAGCTGAGGTGGTGCTGGTCTAAGCCTTTTTCAGCAGGAAGGAGCTGGCTGCAGGTCTGCCCTTCCAGCAAGAACACAAGAAGTGAATGTCAGAATTAACATACGATACACCTGCACCCCAGCTTCAGACAAGAACTGATATCTAGCAGGCAACAGGAGGAAAAAGGCTTTTGTAAGTGAGCAGATGTTTCAAGGTTCACATACAGGGGAGTGGAGAGACAAAAGCTGAACTTTTGTACCATACACTGCACAGTAAAAAGGCATCGTTTTAAATCCTTTTCCCTCTCACCCGTTTTTGGGCACTTCACTGATTCAGTCGATAGATGAGACTTCCAGTTCTACTTCTTGCCTCCAGCAAGAGTTGAAAAATACTCAGGGCACCCATCCTCACAGCTCTCCTGTCCTCTATGAGACCCTAAATCATACCACAAGGGTTGGAACCACAACAGCTGGCAGGACGTGGCCCTGCCCAAACCACCAGCTGGTCAAAACACAAATCACACATATATACATATATATATATATATAAAATACATATATATATATATATATAAGCACACATATATATGTATATAAAAAGCTGGAACTATCGCTGTGAGCGACTCAAAGAAAATACATGATACAAATTAAATGAAAAAATAAATATACTCTGTGCACAGAAAAGCTTCTGTGCAAAAGGTGGCACCTTGCAGGTCAAGTACTTTTTTTGAAGCTCTCTGTAAATAAGGCAAAAGCAATGTTTTCTGTATCACGTTTCTCTTTCGCCCACCAAGCAGCTGCCACATCCACTGCTCACACAGCAGGAGGGGAAGCAGGAAACCCTCCTCCTTGCCAGACTCCCAGTACAGCATGTAGTCTCTACGTCAGCATCGTTTACGCTACAATAACTGTTACAGTTTGGTTTATTCAAAAAATGTAGACTATTTAGAAAAAATACGGACATAAGCAACACTTCTACTTTTGTCCAGTGGTTCCCTGGAGTCTGACAACGTGGTCTCCCGTTGGGCACATTCTCACAGAAGTCATTTTTGTAATTCCATAGAAAGAGTCACCGGCTCAAAGAGTTACATTGGATCTAGACCGTGCATACTAGAGCTGCAAAGAGGTCCAGTGTCAACAAGTCTCTTCAGTTTTTCTAGGAATGACAACCAAGGGGACTCCCTCCCGCTGGATGCTTACCATATATGGGATTCACAGTGTGTCATTTTGATAACTCCTACGCCTCCTCCCAGCCGCCGGTAGTTCATCCCACCGTACAACCTGCAAGGACAAGGTTTTGGGGTCACACTGGTTCACATCCCTCATGGAGACACCATGGGCACCAGCCCTTGGGAGCACAGTTTGGAGCTATCATGGAAAAAAACCCAACCAGCCCTGGTGAGCACACTTAGACCATCACCAATTTAAAGCAGACCATGAAGAAGTTCGGCAGCACATCTCACACACTTCCAAGGTAAACAGCTGTATTTTCTCAGGCCTTTCTCTCTCAAAACAGAAACTGCTTCTCCTTTTGACACTAGATTTGTGTTACTCAAGTAATGACTTCTTTCTCCCCATCTGAATACACAAGAAAACAACTTTGCGGGCTGTGGCTGATCTTGGGCTACGTTTTGGGTAACATAGGAGCAAGAGTAGGTTTGCTCCTCACAACTCAACTACTTTTATTTCTAATTATTTTAGTAATTTTATATTCTAATACCCTAAATTCAGCTGATTCAACCAAGATGTAATGCATCCCAAGCACCACCTGTTTATTGAAATGGTGCCTGCATTTCCTGTGGCTATCTGATCCCTGTAGACTCCAGCATCCTAATCACTTCAGCTGCATATTCCCATGGCTCAACAAACAAGGAGACATTCCTCCAGTGCTGCTTGAGACAGCCCTTCTCAGCAGGAAAGGGTTAAACTACTACTATTACTAGTAGGAATAAGGACATTAATTTCTCTGTATTCCCCACTCCTGCCAGATTACTACAGCAGCAAGAACACCCATATAAGTTTGAAACTAATTAGACTTGGGAATAAATACACAATGAATTGCTTTCAAGTATAGTTATGACTACAAAGGCTACTTTTCCTATTTTCTCAGTACATATTTTGGATCAGCAATTTAATATTATTTCTCTCAGCTTATACACCAGATGAAATTCTTCCAATTGCTGTCTTGCAGACTTAAGGGGATAAACATCAGAACTTCCCAGTGTTCTGTTTGAGCTCCTCCAAAAGGATTTGGAAATCACAGCCTCACCTTGAAAGCAAAATCTTAGTAGGCCAAATTCTACATCATGGCTGTGAGTTCCTTCTGCTAAGGGCAAGCTTAGTTTTACTGGGAAGCAGGAGAGACTCAGCCCAAAACAAAGACAAGGGGAATATCGGGATACTTTTCAAAATGTGATTCTGTCTTACACTTCCATGCAAGGCAACAGCCACAATGTGAGTGTTGTGCTGGCTCTGCCACACCTGAGTTCTTCCCTGTGGTGTGCATCACCTTTCTAGTTTGGCTGGGACAGCTCCAGCTGGGTGGCAGCAGCTCCAGCTGGATTTCACTACTGGGTTGTTTCCCAAACCCAACAGTTACCTCCACGTGTTAGCATCTGGATCAAACACCTCAATGGTCTTCAAGTACGTCGTGCCATCAAACCCCCCCACTGCCATCAGCTGCCCATTCACCACGGCGAGGCCAACCTGCAAAACAGCCATCACAGACAGCAGCTACTTAGCTGGGATGTCCTGAAAAGAAGGGCTAAAATGAAAACATCAATAAAAGGATTTAATAACCATGTTTGGTGAAAGGCAGTCTGCAGGAGAGGGTTGGGGTATTTTTCTTTAGGATGTGGCAGAAATAAAGTAACCTAAAAAATGAGACATGGAAAGTTAAATATATATCTCAAACTAGACAATCTCTTAAAGAAAAAGCAGAAGGTTCCCCCTGTTAACAGCTACAAGAAGTAGAACCATTTGAATGATAATAGATACATGAGAATCTAAACCTTTTTCATCCAAAACTTATGTTCTGGATTGAAATTCTTCCTCAAGTGTGACGTGCTGTGACTTCCAGCCCACAGCCTGGAACACTTACTTAAAGTAGAAGAAACACAGGTAAGCCCCTGGTCCCAAACCTCTCAGGCTGGGGTTGGACCACCTGTATATCACCTTGGCCCCCAGCCTTTCTGCTTAGCCATTCTGCAGAAGCACAAAATCACTGAAATGTCAAATAGATGATCACTTCCAGCAGCAAACATGTAGCATAACAGAGAAAGAGCAGGAACACAATGTAAAATGGTCCTCATTTTGGCTTTGAGGAAGTCAGGAGACTCAGGAGGGCTGCAGATACAGATGCCTCTGTTAAGCAGTTTCTACAGAAAGCAAATACAGAAGCAGCTGATAAAAAGTCAGTGTCTAATCAGTAGCTAAAACGAACAGTGTTGGACAGCGTACCATGTGCTTTGACAACTAATAAAAACATATTCTCTGCCTCCAAAACCAGTAGTTCCTCAAATTATGATTCATACTTGCCTCACCAGGCACTGAAATACTAACATACAGATAGAACTA